CCGCAGATTGTTGGTGCTGCGGGACGCGATGCGGAGGAAGGGCTAGCTTGGTGTACCCGTGGACCCGTTGGGAACTCGAATCGCTTCTTTATCGATTCGAGATGACGGCCCGCCACTACAAAAACTAAATTCAGCGACTTTTGGGAGAAACCGCTCCTTCAAGGACAGCATAGTTGCGTATATCGGATAGACCAGGAACTCATCACTGGTGTTCCTAGCTATCGAGACGTCCCGGAAGAGTGGATTACTCACCAGCCTTGCCCATTTCTTGGCTTTAGGGCTGACATGGTATCGGAGGCGGCGGAGACAGACTGCAGGAATGCGAGTTGACATTCTGCATATGCGACGCGATCTTCTCTTATACTGGCATGATGCTTGCAATCAGCCCCCAACAGCCTATGAGAAGTGTCATCGGATATCGGAACAGATCGTCGATCGGTCCACCCTTGAGAATGACGTCGAACATGGCGACGAAGAGTACAACTCAATACGCTTAGATCAGAGCATCGCCGAGAGCTAAAGTGCCGATATGGCACGTATCCAATTCCACGGAAAAGCTGTCTGTTCAAGTCGGCATCTTTACCTGGGTCTGAGTCGGCGCCAATGCTCATAGTGAGTGGTAGGCGCCTTGAGGTGCAAAAGAAGCGAGCTTGCGATTGAGCAGATCCGGGGACGGAAGAACGATTGGACGAGTGGGTTCACGATTTTTAGATATAGACGAAATGGAGTCTCAGAGCACCTGCCACCCACTATTTTTGGAGCCGAGTCTGAGGCAAAATACCAGACAGAGGGTTGCGGGTGACGAAGGCCAGCGGTAGCGTGATTCCAAGGTTAGCGACTGGCGTTAGGGACGGCACGTCGTGCAACGTCGAAGGTCCTCCAGGGCTCCGAGACCACTAGCGCAGAAGGCCCACCCGTACCTGATCGAGGGATCCATGGACACCACTACCGCTGGTTAAGAATGAGCGCCCGTGAACAGGTTCACCGAGATCATGCCGATGGCTCGGCTTCCCCCCGCCGCCGCACCACCAGCGTGCCGTTCCCTCAGCCTCACCTCGTCGCGACTGCCCTCATCCGACAGACCAGCATTGGTAAGCTATCAGAGCGCGTTGACAGCTGCTGCGCAGCTTGCGGCAATGCGCCTCTTCCTGCAGCGGCATGCGAAGTGCTTGCCTCATAGTTGGTCGCGGTATACGCCGCCGGCCAGCATCTCACTCAATCATGTCGCGTGGATCCTCCCCGGGCATGTTTCCCGCGCCGTCATAGCCTCTTCGACAAACTACAGCACTCTGTGCCATTGCGTACCCGTACCACGCGTTCGATTCAGCGCGCCGGCCAGGATTCTCTCGCTTGAAGATAAGTTGGCCATGGTCCTGCTTTCCACGGTTGCGAATGGCGCCTACCATGGATCGACGTTTAATTCTTCACTTCCCATGACAAACAGACCACCTGCATCATCACACTCTCAACACGTCCAGCTTCACCACTTCTAGTCTATTCAGATATCTCCGTTATTCACCAATTCATTGTGTCGTTTCCAAAAGGGTCCATTGCACACACAATCGGCACGAAATCTGGCAAAGCGTGGTAGCGAGTTACCTCAAACCACATATCCTCACAGGCAATTACCGTTAACAATGAGCTTAGTTCTCATACCTTCTAACCAACATCATTCTTACATGTCGGACGACAACTCTCCAATGATACCAGGGCAGCCAGGGTACCCAGTGTACCGTCCGAATCAAGGGCAGCCAGAAGAAACACCAGCGCCCGGTAGTTATGGATCTTTTACGCACACATCGCCCACAAGTCCATTATTCCCACAATACGCAGGATACCAGTATATGGGCAATTTTCCGCCGCCCATGTCTCAATCCACGAACTCGCAGGCGTTTGTTTTGGGCGCAAACGTTAACTTAAACGCAGCATCGACTGCGAACACCTTTTACGGCGCCCAGGGCGGCTCAGCATTTACTCCTTCCAATCAGTCAGCAAACTCGATCTCTACTCCGACTATTTCCCCGTCGCAAACTCAATTCGATCCCGCCGATGCGTCCCAATTCTACGAAGGCGACAACGACGACGACGACGCCAAAGGACGACACGACAGTTTGTACCCTAAGGATGAAGAGACATCCCCAACAACAACAACAGAAACACCGTCCAAGAAGAGGCGTCGATCCGAGTACGCCGAACCAGGCTCAGCGCGGGCTATATATCTCGAAAAGAACCGCAAAGCCGCCAGCAAGTGTCGAAGCAAACAGAAAATGGAGCAGGAAGCGCTAGTTGAGAGAGCGCGGGACTCGGAGCGCAGTAACCGCATACTGAAGGCGGAAGTACACATGCTACAGACTGAACTGCGAGAGCTGAAGGAGTACGCCGGTCGACATGCCAACTGTCGGGACCCGCGGATAGCAATTTATCTGCAGAGGTTGGCTGACCGTTTGGCTTCGCAAATGGGCCATCCACAACCACAGTTGTGAACACAGAGTCGCGCAAAAGTTTTCCGTTCAGCGACAGAACCTTTTTCTCGCTCCTCGTGAAGTTGGTCTTCTATCGGCGCGAAGGCGGACATATCTCGGCGCTCCACCATGCTCCTCCAAAAATGCATCACCACGAATCGCATTTCAGGTTCTCGGAACTTTTCTGGATCCTGTATTGTAATTGCGAGGGTAGAAATTTCGCTTTCCAGTGGGCTATCAGTAATCACAAAGTTCGGTGGTCGACCTTCACCGTCCCGAATAGGGGGGCTGGGATGTGTTGGGGAAAAAAAGATAAGGGACTGGAGTCGTGGCTTTCTATAGGCCCCATTCCAGAGTTAAGTCAGGGTACAATTGCAGTCATAGCGGAAACATACCCTTTCTCTGGAGTGCGATGAGGAAATTAATACCAATATGAAGGGGTGGAACCAATCGTCGGCTGCATTGCATTAAGCATGTAGATGAAATTACGGATGTTACTTTCATGCCTCCGAGGTGACTTGTTCCTACGAACTGATGCTATCTAATCAGATGTGACTTCCTAGTGAAGTCGGAAGTTCTTGCTCTCAAAATGAAATGACGTCATTGCCATGGATATGACACTTGCTACCGATGCATCTCGCTCAAGCTTCCTTTTCAGAAAATCTCGGTATTCCGCGTCCCTGGCTATAGGGGACGTACTGGCGCACAGCTTGTCGCTTACTTCTTGCGGGAACGTCATCAGTTCCTATGCTCTAGTCGCTAAATCAGATAAAGTCCTCCTCTTGTTATCATAATCAATACATCCACCCCTGCTGTCTCAACGCCCAGAAGCATGCCTGCTACTTGAACGTCTCGATCCAGTCCTGCCACCAGTTCTTACACCGTTCTTAGCCTCCCGATGTCCCATCATGTGCTCTTCGTCCGCGCCCGTTGACATATCGCGAGAATGTTGAAGCTCCATAGGCGAACCGCTTCGCAGTCTCTTCTGGTGTGCGTCCGTGACCTGGCTTGGATGGGTCCAGTTGAAAGCAACCATAACAAAGAACATCAGCAGAGCATCGAAGATGTACAGGTACACTTCGTGACTGAGCAAATATCCCGCGTTTCCTCCGAGGTATTCCACTACACGGAAGATGCTTCGGACCATGATGAGCGCGCTTGCGAAGTATAAGTTGAAGAGGTGGCGCTTCCAGGGTAGTTCGTCGAGACTCGCTCGGGATACGGTGGTCCAGGTTTGTACGATCTCATGGGATTGTCGAGACTTGAAGCACGAGAAGGGGCTGTAGCGCCTCTTTAGGGGAAGGTCTCTGGAGACACGGTAGTGGAAGACCGCGGAGACGACGATAAAAAAGCCAAAAAAGAGCAGTTGGACGAATAGACCACCGATGATGATCTTTTCACCGGTATGCAGGGCGTCTAGCGTGCCCATTGCTTGGATGCCACCACCTATACTAATATTTAGCCATAGTTCTGGAAGCTGCGCTAAAGTGGTAACGTACCTGCGGCTTGCAACATGAAGCTGAACACATCTCCTGCTACGAACGTCTTCGTAAGCCACTTGTGGCTAATTAGCGAGTAGCGCTCTCCGTCGACTAAGAGGATTATCCGACCCAGTATGATGTAGATGGAGGCTGCGAATAGTGCCGGGGCAAGTAAGATGAGCAGCGACTGCATAATGAAGGGACCGAGTGCCCAGACATCGTCGTGTGAGAGGTAGCGTCCGATGTAACCTATAACCTCGACTGCATCATGTCAGCAACACCATCGCGAAGAAGGATGGCTATGCAATCTTACATAGACCTCCAATCACTAGTGGTGCGAAGTACCACGTCTTTCTTCTGATGAATTGGAAGATGTGCAAGAAGGTGGTAAGGCCGAATGCGACGACGAAGATGATTGCCGCTATCCGGTTTGGGATGTATCGGTATAGAACGTAGGCGGTTGGGTCGTCAAGCGCTGGGCGGTATGGTTCGGTGTCGGACATGTTTATTTGAGTTGGAGACGAACGCAGGTAATGCGTCCTCGAATGCAGGTGTGACCATTCTCAAAGTGGGCTTCTCGAACGTTTTAACAACAATTGCGTATCGCTCCTCGGACAAGCCGTCAAGCTAAGGATGCGTTCGCGTCCTGGCTGTACGGAATACGTGATGCGAAATACGCTGCCAAGAGCGCTTGCCGAGCCGAGACGTTTTTTTGCGGGCCCCGTATCGGCCGTATGGCTTCTGCCGCACTAGTGGGTCGATTTGGGGGTTAAATCGTGCGGCACCCCGTCCAATACGGCGTATCAACAACTGCAGTGCCTCGTTGAGATTGTGCGAATTGCACAGCCTCTCGCGAGCTTCGCAAGCTTCGCCATTTATTTGGTCCCATATTAGTGATCATTGCGATAAGACTTCGCCAAAACAACCCACGACTTTAGGCCAAGAGCTGGTTTGCCAAAGGACAAGCACACCCGGTAAGACTCACTCCCCGCGATAGGATACAATGAGTTACTGGCTGCGACGCCAAAATGGATACAACTCGGTGTAACTCAGATCCTCACGAGGCTGTCGGAGTGGTCGTCGCGCTCCCGGCTTGAGCATGAATGATCTGTTGCGGCCAGTCGAGCCATTTTAGGAGATCTGGTGTCGCTGCTAGCAATTGTTCGCAGGCAGCAAGAAGCCATTGGGGCCACTTTACCACCCACCATACCGGGCGACATTGGGCCAGCATTGCTGCAAAATGGGTCGTGATGATGCATGTCACAGGGTTGTGAGCTGCAAGGAGATCGAAGAAATGGGTCTCCAACCTCGCAGGCCAAAGAAAGAGAAGGGAGTACTCGTCGCGATCGGGTGATATGTGCCGGAACCGGAGCCAGGTCGCGTTGAGTGCGTCGATAGCTGTAGCGCAGGCCTCCTTGTCTTGGCTATCCAGTAGGAGTTCCGTGAGTTCCTTCAGTCGAAGAATCTCTTGAGGGTTCTCCTCCCTTGCGAGCGTGTCCAACGCATCTAGCGCTTCCGGAGACGCCATATCTGTCATATGAGCAAACACCGAGCTGTCTTTGATTTGGTCCCAGTGAGGTATCACCACAACCTTGATGCCTTGCAATAACATGAAGCAGTGGTGGAGAGCGCGAATGGGATCTTCGGGGCGTTCAAGCTGCGCCGAACCGAAGTTGTAAGTCAAGATTATCGAAGACAGCATGAACATCGGAATTGCCAGCTCAACGTTCGGCGTCTCCAGATTCTTTCGGTAAGTGTCCAAGGCTCGACTGATGTGGGAATCTGCCTGGAGCAAAAGACTCTGCCGCTCATTGGGTGGAAGCAAGGATGCTTGATGGACTGCCGAAAGGGCGAGAAAACCACGAAGAAGGAAAGGATAGTCGAAGCCTAATTCAATGAACTCGTTCTGCAGAGCGACACGGTTAGTTCAACAATTCCACATAGTCTATCGGAGTAGACCAGTCTTACCTGCCAGACGACACTTCTAGTTGCGGGATTTGGATGCAAGGATTTGGCGCACGCCTTTGTCCAATGATGCAGCAGACGGAGGTCTGCGAGTGGTAGCTCGGAACTGGCGGGACTTGCTTCGGGACTTTCAGCATGATTTGTATCCACAAAGGGTGAGGACACGCCTGGACTGTGTTGCGGGGAGGTCGAGTAGCTATCCGGTATTGCTGGGAAATGGCAATGGATATCCAGGCGGACACAGTTCCCACAGCGCGGGCGCGCTTCATTGCACTGTACGACATGGTAAGCGACGACACGGATCACTGCAGAAGAGCCATAGCTTCGGATGCTCATAGCACTTGAGCTCTATGCGCCGGGTAGATACAGAAAATCGCACAGCACACGGTGATTGGCTGGTGAAGACGGAAGCTGCATCGAAGGTGAACACCTACTTTAGTATGTCTCTGCTTGCATTGGAAGCATCCTTTTCGCGACTTTGTGTGAGTCTTGCGCTTTGCGACGCGCTGTTCCGGCATAGTGGCGACAGCGAGATGGGTATATGAGTGCAATTGAGATGCACGATGCAGGTGATTTGGGCTGGGCGGCGGAAGATCTTCGGTTATGTAAGCCGCTAGCGAGCGACTGGCGTGGGCATTTCCCCGCGGATGTCCGTTTGGCCCCTTGCTTGCATTTCAGCTTGCTGAGGCACAGCACCAAACACCTGCTTTGTGACTTGCACCGCCGAATCAAGACGCGAGAGAATTCAAAATGAGAAGAAAATGACGTTGTCAAATATCGGTTGTATACTCCACTACGCCGGACTCCGAGAGACAAACCCCATCCCTGTTCGTGGAAGTCTGAACGCCTTCAAATCCAGATTAAAACATTTCGCGCCGGCTCAGCTACAAGACACAAGCATCGTGTCCACCCACATCAGTTCCAGTTCCTGAACTCCGCCTGCGCGTCGGCGTTGCGCCATCCGATGTTCTCCCTGCTTGCTTCCTCCAGGGCAGTTGGCTTCCTCGTCGCTTGAGCGCCTGCGGGCGACGACTTCCTTGGCTGGTTAAGACGCTTATCCAGGGCCGCTTGCTGGTTTGCGCGCATCTTTGGGCTTGTCAGCGTTGCAAGTATGGTCGAACACTAAGACCATACCTCAGCTTGGAGTTTCGCGCGCTCTTCCTCGCTAAGCTGCGGCTCTGGAGGTCGCTGCGATGCTGACGGCTGAGACTGTTCTTGACCCATGGTTTCAGTCGGGAATATGCAGTGCGGGAATGGTTGATGGACTCCCTTGAAGTCAATGTAGACTTTGAACGAAATTGCGGTGTCTTTGTTGTTAATATATGCTGCTTGCATACCAAGCTTAGGCCACCTACGGCACGGTTATCCTGTTAGGCAACAACGCCAACGGCACGGCCACACTCTGAGGCGCATCTCCACAGCCTTGTGGTAGATGTACGATATGCCTGAAATACGTTTTTTCAGGCTGTGCAACTGGCGGAAGAGTTGTCGCTGTAGGTATTACAACGCAAAGTTATGTGTGGATGCGATTTCCCAACCATGGTACTAGTCTGAGTCAAACTTGCATCTTATTCTTTACGATTTCGTGTCTTACCACATTCCAACACTGAACTTTATCATATAACTACTCTTACATATTCATTTAGTTCTATACCGGCCCTAATCCTGGTATAACGACTTCATCATGCCGAACACCAACAATCCCTACCGCTGCATTGGCAAGGGCTTTTGCGGCAGCGTCTGGGCCGCTGAAGATGGCACGAATCATGCCATCAAACGCGAAGATGGAGGACCCGGCCGATCTGTCACCAACGACTACAACATGCATCTGCAGATCATTCGGAGCGCAAACCAACATCGTCCTTCAATGCCTCTGGCCATACCACAGTGTCAGTCGTTGATATACTCGAACAATATGTGGTGGATCGAAAACCTCCACCGCTTCCCTGCCGGCTTCACAGAGTGTAGAGCGCTCATATCAGAACGCATCCCCAAGATACCTCGATCTATCAGCGACAAGATTGTGGACCTATTTTGCTCAGACACGTCACTCTCAGCCTTTGTGAAAGGGAATGAAGATGACGACTGCTGTCTTATCCGTCCCTACCTAGGGCGACGACGGGGACGCGAAGCAAACACATCGCGCTTCCAGCGCTTCAGCCTCCGAAATGTCCCATTACACATCAACCAGATGGAAGACCTCGGCCTTGATTACGTCGCCTACGCGCAGACTATGGCAGATGCACTTGCCATGATGCACTGGGGCGCCAAAGTCGATGCTAATGACGTCGAGTTCGTACTCGCGCCTCCGCGAGCCTCATCATCGTCATCATTCCCGTCACACTATCTCGGCAAGCACGTTATGTGGATTCTCGACTTTGACTGTGTGAGGCACATGTCCATGGACGAAGCTGGGCTAAAGCAGGCGTGCGCAGCATTCATGAGAAACGACCCTTTCTACCCACGACCCGACGGCACTGAGAGTGCTGACGGAGCGTTATGGTGGCTCTTTAGGCATAGGTTTCTACAGACTAGTGCGGAAATATTAGGAGATGGGAGCCCGCATGCAGGCCTACCACGGAGGCTGATGGAATTGATTGAGGAGGAAGGCTGTAGGCGACGGAAGAAGAAAGAAGAGATCCAAGAGCGGGATGAAGATACGGAGCAGGACTAGAACGAATTGGGATGTGTTTGTCAGGAGCATCTATCCAACAATGTTCTTCTTCCTTGAAGACTTGAGATATTTCAAACGACGATGTTAGATAGCTTTAATACAACATCGGGTACTATCTCTACTCTAAGATCTTAACTACGTGTCGGCATGCGTACCTTGTTCTACACCACCTAGGCATGTATGAACTGTCTTTGGCCTACATCCCTTCCTAAATGACATATAGTACTACTATTCTTCATGAAGCATACAACAACTATACATGTATTTTGACATTACATTCTCTTCGAGAGCTTTGTCTGTCAATCGCCAAAGTCGCATGTTAATTCTCTAGTCGCTTTCCACCAAAAGAGGTAGTTCGATCAGAGGATTTGCGATGCGCAAAGGAATGCAAAAAAGCAAAGCGTTGATTTCAACACGAGCGGGGTTTGCGAGTATACCCCGCCACCGCTCCGGGCGCTCATGGCTAACATTTCGCCCCAACACCGACAAAAAGATACTTCACCCCATTTTCGAACGCAAAAAGAAGGCAAAAAGAGCAAAACAAGCAGCTTGACACGAGTGGGGTTCGAACCCACGCACATTTCTGTAGTAGAGATCCAAGCAGGGCTTAAATCTACCGCCTTAGACCACTCGGCCATCGTGTCTGATGGAGAAACTGGACAAATTTTCGAGATACAATGCTCATATTGCCATTGACAAAGCGTAGCAGCCGTGCCGTAGGCATGAAGAGAAGGGTTTGGTGATGTTTGGTATCTTTGTCGTGGTGCGGGGTAGTGGAGGGGCAGTTCAACTTTGGTACAACATTGACTTTGCAGCGTTGGAGGGGTATTGATGCGAGTGCAGTACCAATATAAGAACACTGAGTCAGATAAGACTAGGGAGTTATTTCATCTTCACCAACGTTCTCGAAACATACGAACAGATGCATCAGGCCAAACGAGTGCATTAGTTAGAACCGTGCCCTAGTTATCCCTATAATGTACAAATCCATAAAACCAGTCCAAAACTATATACACCCAGCCATTACATCCCGATCCAGCCTACAAGAACCTAAAAGCTCAATACACTACATCTTCATCCCTTATATCCCCGTCTACGCAACCCATCGCTTACCAAGAGTCTGCGCCGCCTGAGCATCATCAGGGTTATTCTGAGCCAGCGCGGAGAGAATAGACGCAACATCATCCTGACGCTTCTCGATATCGCGACGGGCAGCAGCAGCAGCCTCCGGGTCGACCTCGGCGAGCGCGTCAAGGCAGTGTGCTGCATCGTCCTGGCGCTTCTCGACGTCGCGGGTCTCGATGTCGCGACGAGCAGCCGCAGCGGCCTGGGGGTCGACTGCTGCGAGATCATCGAGGCAGTGGGACACGTCCTGGCGCTTGGTAACAGACTTGGGGGTAGAGCTCATAGCGGGAGCGGCGGCGGCGGCGTCATCGGGGTTGTTCTGCGCGAGGGCAGCAAGGATGGATGCAACGTCGTCTTGACGCTTCTCCATATCGCGGACGTCGATGCTGCGGCTCTTAATGTCGCGGCGGGCAGCGGCAGCAGCTGCGGGGTCGACCTGCGCGAGGTTGTCGAGGCAGTGGGATACATCGTCCTGACGCTTGGTGGTGGATGTAGACGACATGGCCTGCTTGGCTGCGGCGGCATCGTCGGGGTTGTTGGCCTCGAGCGCGGCGAGAATGGAGCTCACGTCGTCCTGACGGCGGAGCTTGACCTTCATGGCTGAGGCGGCGGCGTCGGCATCTTCGGGGTTGTTCGTGCGGAGAGCCTCGAGGATGGAGGCAACGTCATCTTGGGGACTGGCTGAGAGGTGTTAGATGGACGTCCGAAGAAGCATACTTCTTCATGCTTATCAAAACCTACCGGTAGCGAAGACGGCGCTGGAGAAAGCAGCAACGGCGACAAAGGCAGTGTAACGCATGTTTGCTGATTGGAGTTTCGGAAGTGTTGGTAGTGAGAGTAGATTGAAACTGAATAGAAGTGACCGGCACAGATATTACAAGATGATAGTACTGATGAGATGTTATTTGCTCAAATCAACTCAAGAAGACATCGAGCTC